GAGAGAGAGAGAGAGAGAGAGAGAGAGAGAGAGAGAGTGTGTGTGTGTGTGTGTGTGTGTGCGCGCGCGCACCAACCCTCCCCCCCAACCACACACACACAGAGCAGGGCCCATCTCCTGCAGCAGGGGGTGACAGGGAAACACACACACCCTACAATCCCAGCTGGCGATCCCATAAGCCCATCCCCATCCCAGCAGCCCATCCCCCACCCCAAACCACTGAGTGTGCCAGGAAAGGGGGGACTGTGAGGGGACAGCTGGGGCCCATGCAGGTCAAGGTTGGGGGTCAGGCCCCATGGGGGAACAGGGGACACTTACCAGGGTCTGCGGCTCTTTCCCTTCGTCCATGGAGGCGTCTGCAGAACAGAGACACCCGCTGAGCTGCACCCCCGGCCGGCCCAGAGCAGAACCCCACACCCATCTCCGACCCCTCCATCCATCCAGGGGGTCAGGGCCCGGCACAGCCACCCCTCCCCAGCCCCACAGCATGGGCCAAGGTCATTAGCCCCATGTTACAGAGAGAGAAACTGAGGCACAGAGACGGCAGCAGAGTCTAGGGGTTTTTGGCAGGGCGGGAGGGGGGGTTGGAGTCAGAACATCTGGGTTCTCTCCCCGGCTCTGGAGGGTAGTTCAGTCTAGTGGTTAGAGCAGGGGGCTGGGAGTCAGGAGTGGATGGGGATTCCCCACAGGTCATTGGCTGGGAAGGTCTGATGGAGAAGTGAAGGGGGGACACACAAAGCCCAAGGCCTGGGGGGGGGGGTAATGGGGGGCCCACAGAGGGAGTCTCTGAACTAGAGGGGGAGGGGAGGGTGGCCCCCAGAGAACTGGTGGGGAGGGAGGCAAGAAGCTCAGCTGACACCTGCTACCTCTGGGACCCTCTCCTTAGTCCCACCCAGCAACAGCCCCATGCGAAAAGAGAAAATCCGGTTCTCTAGCCCGGAGCGACTCTCAGCCAGTGTAAAACAGGAGGGTTTATTGAGCGTTGACCCCAGCACAGGAAACTCTCAGGGCCTCAGGCCTGGCCTCCCTCAGCCCAGCACATCCCAGTCTCCCCTGCATCCAGATGGGCTCTGCCTGCTCCCCATCTCCAGCCCAGACCCCCCTGCTTCCCAGCTGGGCATCTGATATCACCGGCCCCAGGCCCCGCCTCTGTCCATTGTCTTCTCTCCAAGGAAACCGGGTCACCCGGGTCGCCTCTCCTCTCCTCTCTTCTGTCCTCTGGCCCCCTCTGGCTGGAACCGGCTGGTCAGGTCACCGGGGTCCTCTTTTTACAGTCCATTGTCCTCCCACTGGCCAGAACCGGCTGCAACTCCTGAGGTGGGCCTCTGGGTCACCAGGTCACCAGTCGCTGGGGTCTCCATCCCCCAGGCCATTGGCTGGGGTCCCAAGTTCCCTCTCCGGTCCTCTGTAACAACAAACTCCCTCTCCCCTCACCTCGTTAAACCAGCAACATCCAGGGACACTGAGTCCCACCCCCTCTGCATGCAAACCATTGGGAAAACAAGGAAAAAAACAAGAAAATGCCCCACTTCGTCACAGGGGGTGCAGCCGGGGGAGTAGCGATGGCATCGGGGTCCCTCTCTCCGGCCGCTCTGCTCAGGACGTCTCCACAGAGCAGAGTCCAGATGGCCCGGGGGCCCTGGAGACGGGGGGTGGCAGCCACGACGGTGAAGCGAGTCTCTTTCTTTAAGGGCCCAAAGGGTGGTGAGCGGCACAGCCCATCCCCGCAATATTTTATTCACCAATGAGGCCTTGTTTCCAACACCCCAATTGTGGGTCAGGGATTTCTGCTCCCCCACTTCTCCCGTGTCCCAGGTGGGCCCCAGCCCGGCCCGTGGGTTCTGTCCGGCGGCCGCTCGAGTTGGACTAATCCCGTCTTTCTGTCTCGCCAACTTCCCCCCCAACGTTCATTCGTCCAGGTTCTCGTGACGCTGCCTGAACTTCTCACTCACCTTCGTCAGCTGAACCCACCACAAGGAGCCATTTGGAGGCTCCGTTATCACAGCCCCCCTGGGGTGGGCAGATTTGGGGGGCAGGGGAGAAGGAAGCTCTGGGGGTTTGTACAATAGAAATACAGGGCGGGGGATGTATATGGAGAAAGGGGGGGGAGAAAAGGGGCTGGGGGGGCCTGCTGCAGAGAGAGGAGGGGGACAGAAACCTGGGGGGCAATCATTATTCCAGCACCAGGATCAGACGCAGCATCCCCGCTCCCCACGGACAACCCTGGGCAGGAATTGGCGTGACTGAGCCAGTGAGTGGGACCCCGCCGCCCTCCAGCGGCTGCTCCGAGGCGAGCTCGATGGGCCCAGCGCAGGGGCAGCTCCTCTAGCTGGTGCCCGCGGGGCCAGAAGTCCGGGGTTCAATCCTGGAGTGCAGCAGTCGGCTCAGAAGCAGTCTGGGGGATGGGATCCTCTGAGGCAGGGGTGTCTGGGGGCGGGGGAGTTTGTGCCGGCATCTTGGATCCCCAAGGGGAAGCAGCTCGTCCCTGGGGAGATTCTCTTCTCCGCACGGCCAGAACTAGGCTCCTGGGGGTGCAGAGAGACGTTGTCTGAACGGCCCATGTCACCCAGAGCTCAGCCCCTGAGGGGAGCAAGGGACACAAACAGGGGGTCACCTCACCTAGGGGTCCCCCTTGGGCGGCTGTAATAGGCCTCAGCCAGGATCAGCCCCAGGACAAGCAGGACCACGGCGCCCAGCGCCAGGCGGGTGATGTTGGCGTGGTTGAAATCTGGGTGCCCTGGGGGGGCAGCTGTGGGGGGAAGGGGAGAGTTACTCAGTTTCTTGGATGGGGAGATCAAGAGCTGGTGCTGCCCCGGGAACATCCAGGACGGCCATCCCAGCCCCCTCTGGGAATCTCCCAGGTGCCCCGGCTCTAGAGCGCCCCCTATTGCCAGGGGGATGCCATGCGGGCCTAGGGAGGGGGGGGGTTGCCCCATCCCCCCTGCACCCAGTAGGTCCCAGCCCCGCTGCCCCACCCCTGGGATCCCCCCACAGCTTCCAGGCAGTGAGCGTCAGGGCAGGAGGCATCCAGGGAGCTGGGGGCCTGGCAATGGGGGAGGGACAGTGGGGCTGTCTCGCCATCCCTCCCAAGTCAAAGACTCCATCCCCGGGGTGTCTGGGCCCCACCCACCCGGATTTTCTGACCTGTCCCCCCCATCTAGCTCCAGCCCCTGGGCACCACGAGCCTGTTTCCAGGGCTGGTTCAATGGTGATTTCCTCCCCAGCCCCGGTGCCTGGTCCTGCTAGGGTTGCCAACATTGACTGAAGCTATTCTGGGGGGGGGGGGAATTCCCAACATGACATAATCTCAGTTCCTTAAATATCCTATTACAATCTCCCAGATTGCTTTCAATAGGCACCGGGAGACCAACGCCGAGTCTGGGAGACTCCAGGCTAATCCTGGAGGGTTGGCAACCCTAGGCCCCGTGCTCCCCGGGCGGGTGGGAGCCGGCGCCGCACCAGGCTGGGTCGAGTCAGTTCCCCCCCGCGGGAATAGAACCAGTGTCCGGGGGGAGGGAGGGGCTGAAATAGTGACTCAGCGATCGCCCCACCCCCCATCCCACAACTCAGCATTGAGCCTCACTGTCATTCCGGGGGGTGGGGGGGTTAGTGACTGGGGAGTGGGGACCCCCCTTCCCTCGCTGGGCGGGGGCTAACTGCCTCCTGTTTGCCTGTAGCGGAGGCAGGCCAGGAGGTGCCATTCACACCTGGAGTCACTGCGGAGCAGGTCTGGGCGCGGCTGTCCCTATTTCGGAAGAGGAACGTCCCTGTGTCTATAGAGCTACAGGGGAGCTTGTCTGCCAACCGGGGCTGTATCACACCAGGGGGCGCTAATTCCGACAGCCCAGACTCGCTCTGAGATCACCAGCAGGGGTTGGGAACCACATGGGATTCGTCATTTTGGGTCCAGTTTTCATGTAGACAAGGTCTTAGTCCATCTTTCTATCCGTCACCAGACGTGCTCCCATCTGTCCACCGCCTACGTTCCCAAGGACCCACATTCCCACTGACATTTGGCGTAGGTCCCCACGGATGTATCCATCACCCTCTATCTAGAAGAACTGAACCCATCCGTTCTGTCTGCAGGGACCATCCCCCTCCAAACAGCCCAAATGGTTCCGTGGGCGTCTGTACGGGGATCCCTGCTCCCTGGGGGATGAATTGTTCGATTTTCTCGCTCACCTTCTCCCGCTAACTCCGTCGGGGGCAGATCCGTTGGGGGCAGATCCGTCTGCTGGGTCCCAGTTGGGTCGGTTCCCTCTGTGGGATGAAAACGAGTGTCGGCTGGGATGCAGGAGGGAGGGCACCGAGCACCCAGCCATCGGCCTGAAACTCCAGCGGCTGCTGCTGCCCCCTGGCTGGGGAACCCACCAGTGTCCCTGCTCCCCATCTGGGCATCCCCTCTGCTGGGCCCAGGGCTCAGGTCAGAGCCTGGCTCTGAGTGTCCCGTCGGGGCCAAGACCTGCTGAGAGTCCGTCTGGGTGTGGGACTGGGAACGTGTAGCCGGGCCCCTCACCTGTTACCACCAACTCCACGGGGTCGCTGGGCTCCAACCAGACAGACAGGTCAGATTTGGTGCTATATTGGCAGCTGTAGTTCCCTGCATCTCCCCGATTCACATTGCGGATGGGAAACTCAGCCACATTCCCCGTGGGGTCCATCAAGCGCCATGCGTCCGGGTCTCCAGCTTTACTCAGAAGGACCCTCGCTCCCGCACACCGACACTCACACCGGATGGTCACAGCTCCCCCCAGGGCGACCCGCTTGCTGGGGTGCAGAGAGATGTTGGGTTTGGGGTAGCTGAGCTCTGCAGGCAGGAGGAGACAGGCCATGAGACACAGACCCCAGCACGGTCACTGCGCCCGGTCCTCACAACCTGGCCCCAGTGACGAGGCCGATACAGGGGCCTGCAGAGAGAGTCTCCTGGATGCTTTTCCCCCGAATCCAAGACCGAGAGAGCTGGGCTAGCGACACAAGAAACATTGGGTGCCCCACCCCTCAGCAGGGCAACAGTGCGGAGCCATCTGCGAGGAGTCCGTGGAGAGGTGGCTGGGGCAGGTCAAGGAGAGGCCAAGGGGACCTAGAGGCCAATTCTGTTTTATCTCCATCAGCTGGGGAAGGAGAAATCAGTTGAGTGGGGAATGATCACAAGTGAATCAGAGTTCGCTGGTGTAGCAGGAACTGCTGGGTAGGGTCACACTGGGAACTATTTTTCAACTCACCTGAACAGTAACTGCCATTGGCTGAATTCAACCCACTTCCTGGGCAACAATTTACATTCCTGGAGCACCAGGAACTGGCGTTAGAACGTCCAAGGCACTAGGCCAGAACCCACCGCTCTACGGTCCCTTCGCGGCTTCTCCATTCTTAGGCTGGTTTGTTGTGTCTTGAGCCATCCCCTTGTACCGTCTCTGTTTGCTGCTCTGAGTTCCAGCTCAGATACCTGCAGCTATTTCCCCAGGCGATGGGTCGGCTTCTCAATCGAACAACTGTCCCTCCGCTGCTTTATCTAGAGTCCCTTTGCTCTCGGACAATTTCTCTCTTCCTGTCGCTGCACCTGTAGGTGCTGGGTGGACGTTTTGTCCGTATTATTTGAGTTACTTTCGCTACAGCCCACTTCCTCCTCATTTCTTCAGCCTGTTTCTCTTTGCTCAGAGCTAATTTCCATCACGTTTCATTCGTGCTTCACTTCTCCCGCGGTTTTCTTATTTCTCTTGTTATTTTCTAACAATGGCTTAGGTACTTAGCGACTCTTTTTCCTTCATGTTTCACTGCCTGGTTCTTCCCGTAACTTTCCCCCTCATGCCTCTGTCTTTCCTCTGTCTGCCTCCTCCTGTTCTGGCCCTCTCTGCCCGTTCTTAATGGGACTTTCTCCCTGCCACCTCCCTGCCTGGCCCCGTTCGATGACACAGCTCGGCCACCGGGTCCCTTTCCATTGGCTCCCCGCTTGCTGGGTCCCTTCATTTCTGGTGCCAGTTGCTACCTCGCTGGCTGCTGGTGTATCTCTCCCAGCACTGAGCAGCCTCCCTCCAAACTCTACCAGCCGTTTCCACCAGGAGCACTGGGGGCGGGGGAAGGAGCTGCTGGCTGCTGTCCCCCACTGTTTTCTTTCTCTCTCAACCACAAAAAATACCATCCCAGGTTCGAGCTCCCCCCACTTCCGCTGCCCAGGAATCCTTGGGGTTCTCCCCACAGCAGCAGCTTTGGAACCAGAAGCGAGAGCCCCTCGGGGCTCCGCCCCCCCCCCCGCCTCACCGGGTACGTGAAAAAACTATAAGAGTAGTGGTATTTCACCGGCGGCCCAGAGGCCTCCCACTTATTCTACACCTCTCATGTCTCTTCACAGTGCCAGACTAGAGTCAAGCTCAACAGGGTCTTCTTTCCCCGCTGATTCTGCCAAGCCCGTTCCCTTGGCTGTGGTTTCGCTAGATAGTAGGTAGGGACAGTGGGAATCTCGTTCATCCATTCATGCGCGTCACTAATTAGATGACGAGGCATTTGGCTATTTTGAAAACCCTCGCGGGTTTCTTTTTCGGGTTATTCGGAGTGTGCAATACAACTCCCGGGTGGCCCGTCCAACCCGTAGGTCAAGTCTGGTGTGTGACAGCGAGCATGATGAATATAATCATTACGAGAATCCCATGAAGGAGGGCGGGTAGATAGTTTGGATAAGAATAGTAGGAAAAGACATTGCATGAGGGAAAGGACCTCACGGAACGGTTATCATCCCTACCTTCTTGGGCAGCAGTGTCCGAAGATTAAGGCTGATCTTTTCAAGGTCTGGAGAGTCCCGGTTTCCAGTCCTTTACATTTGAGGAGCGCCTGCCACCTCCAGTCCTGGAGTGACATTTGTGTTGGCGTAGGTCTTATTTCGAGAGAACCCCGCAATTCTCAACGCAATGAAGGGCGATTTGCTGCGAACCCGGAGGCTCGGCTGGTTATCTTTTTTGGTTTCTTTTGCAACACCGGAGTGTCGGCTTCTCCCACAGGGTGTTTTTCAGCCCAGTCACCCTGTGGGGCAGGACAGCAGATCCTCTTGGTCACCACCATATAAGTGGTGTCCGGCGGGCACCGCGGGGAGGTTAAGGATCTGGTGTTCTCACTGCCCCAGCAACTAGACCCAATTAGGAGAATCAGTGGTGAACCATGTCTTTTCCCCCTAAAAGGATGCAGACTAGTGAGAGAATCAGCAAGCCTCAGGGGAGAGGTGCAACCTCCTTATCCAGCCGGAGCCCCGGCCACTCGGGAGGAGTCACCCCCCCCCATAGCGAAACTGCTTCTTCATGCCTCAAAAGCCCGACTCCCCACGTAGAACACGTTAAGAGAGTCCCTTAAGAGAGTCATAGTTACTCCCGCCGTTTACCCGCGCTTCATTGAATTTCTTCAC